ACGGACTTGCAAGTTTCCAAACAACTCACTGACGACCCCTCCGCAATCTACAAATCAAAGAATGCCTCTTTTTCATGTTACCGTACGGCAAGTAACGGGAGGTCAGGGGCGTAGCAAGGGGAGGGGGGATCCTGGTGTTCCCGTGACAAAGCCATTGTTGAAAAGCCTACTTTTTTAAAATTTGTTTTTTTGTGAAGTATTTTCGACAACGGCTCTTGTCTTAAGTTAATATGGGCCTTCATGCCGCGATAATACGACTGAGCCCGCTGATACACGAGGGAAAGCAGCGGTATAAACCATATATAGTCGGCGATCCCCGGATGGTGTCCCTGCGTAACATAACGAGTAGCCTATGTGACCCCCCACACCCCCCCTCACTTTGAAAAAAAATCTGGCTACGCCCCCTGTACGCCCCCGTACGGCAAGGAACAGGAGGTGATGGGCATTACTGCAGCATTTGAAAATTTGTCATATATATACAGCTGTAGCTAGTATCTACATCTACCGTAACAATCAAACGGATTCGACAAATAAACGAAGAAGCTGTTCCCGACATGAAACCCGGTTTTGGCAGTTTTTCAGCTAAAGCTTTGTCTGTTTAACCTGAATTTATCGATGGAACCAGTGAAGAATGTTTTCTTACAAATACAAATTAAGTCTTGCGTTATTTTCTTCGAATGATATGATAGATAGATAGATAGATAGATAATCTTTATTTATTCACGGTACAAAATTCGTCAGCTTTAAAAATGCCTAATACTAATATAATAAAAATATTTAAATAAAAAAGCTGCTTTCCACGAATGCCGTGCCTTACAGTTCTTTGAGTAATCGTTTAAATTGCCCAAGGGACTCTGCTTCCCTTAAGTTACAAGGAAGACTGTTCCAGAGAATGGCGCCACTATAGCTGAAGCTGTTTTTGTAATAGTTTGTGCGCGGTAATGGAATATTGAGTTTATTTTCAGAGTCCCTTAGGTTATATGCGACTTCTCGCCTTTCAAATTTAGAACTAAGATAGTTTGGAGCCAACCCGTGCAGAGACCTGTAAACCATCGTAGCTCTTTGAAATTGTTGCTGGCAAGCTAGGTTTTTCCACCCTAGAAGTTTGAAAAGGTGACCAGCATCTACGTCATAGCTTGAGTAGGTCAAAACACGGGCTGCTCTGTTTTGTAGCTTTTGAACCTTATTCCGTAAGGTTATCCCACAGTTTCCCCAAACAATGTTGCAATAATCAAAGTGTGGCTGTATTAAAGCTTGATATATTAGTTGTAAGGTCGCCTGAGGGACAAGGTGCCTTATTCGTTTTATGGCCCCAATACCAGAAGCGACTTTCTTTGTTACTTTCTCGATATGGCCACTCCAATCAAGTCTGTCATCGATGGTCACTCCAAGTGATTTTGCAGTAGTGACCTGGCTAACTTCAAAATCATTAATTGCAAATGTCGGGGACTCTGTGAGAGTACTTAGCCTCATGTTCATGAATAAGCTTATAACTAAATGAAATGGTGTTTTAAACAAAATGGTTTCCAGGACAGAAGAATTCACAATTTATTTAGAAGAAATGTCCCCGCAAAAGCAAGACAAATGGTTTCAAATATTGAATTTGTCGCCAAGAAAACGTGACGGCCGTGAGGTCATTTGCGCACAAAAATTGTAATCGTTGCCAGCAAAAAATTAGTCAAAAATCATCTTTTTTGTGCTCAATTGTCTCACTGTTTTAGTATTTGATAAAAGAATTATTCACCTAAGTGTCGGTGGCTAAAGCGGCTCCGTAAATACCACCACTAAACTGAGCCACCGACACTGAGGTGAATAATTGTTATTTATAACCTTCAACCGCTTTCTTGAATTCGCTAGTTATGTTACATACACAGTGATGGGAAATCTGCCGTGGACAATGGGAGACAAATAAATAAAGCTTCGTTTCTGAAGCCACTAAAAAACAAAATATCAGTGAGTGACCGGCTATAAACAAACTGAATGCATCACCTGTGGTCATGAACCGCCATCCGTACGAGGTTGGTCCTTCGCCTTTAGACGTAAAAGCTGCTACCGTAATTTTGTAGGTTGTGACTTGCTTTAAGTCCCTCAATACCACCATAGTAACATTAGCACTGCTAGTTTTAACACTCTTACTCTTAGAAGAGGTTTATTCCCTATAGTAGACTCTGTATCCAAGAAGACGTCCACCAGCGTATTGCTTGGGAGGTGGTTGCCCCTGCACTTTCACATCTTTCACCTCTCGAAAATCGGACATGAAGTGGAGGTATTCTGGGAACTAAGAAATAGTTGATATTTTTAGTCATTACTTTGCTAATTTTAATTACAGAATGATAATGGTAGAGGTACAATGTTGCCCTTGTATAATTCAGCATAGCAACTCGGAACCAATAGGATCCAAAGAACTATGCCTTATAAAGTACTGGAAATTTAACGCGACTTGAATTAAAGCAAATTTAATGGGAAGGACTTTCGTCTCGAATAAAAGAAATTAACGCGAAAAAGAGGGCGACATTTTAAAATGAAAGAAATGAAAGCCACCTTCACAAAGGTACAAGTCTTGCTAAGACATCAGAAACAATTAAAGAAAAACGTATCATGCGAAATGGAAACTTTGTTCATGGTATTTTCCCTAAATGTACCAAAGGGGGTCAAGCTAAGATATCTGCGGCGCCACTTCGAGGGTTCTTCACAGTTTCACTGATACTGGCAGATGTCCACTAAGATGAAAGACTTCGCTTTCTTAGGCATGTCAGGAACTTTACAAGTGTATCGAAAATTGAGCCAAATTGATGGAAATTTTAAGTCGCGGAAAAACATTCCACTTAATCAATGGCGTCGAAAATAACGTTTATAAAAATTAACACGTCTCGGAAAAACACAACTTTTTGAAATGCACGTTAATTTTCTATAATATGGTAGTCAAACTAGATGACTTATGCCCCATTCACACCAACTAAACACGTTCAGTTGACTTCTGTAGGTTTGAAAAAATGAAAAAACAAAAACATTGAAGGAAAATTACGCACAGGCTTTTACATATAATTCAAATGAACCTTAAAATATTGCCAAAAAAAAAAAAAAAAAAAAAAAAAAAAAGATACGGAGAAACGGGCAACAAAAAACGTGCAACTTGTCATGCAACATTGCTGCAAAGCGAGTTGAATAGGGATGTTGCGCGGTTTACTAACCTCGTTCAAACCTGTTAACAACCTGATTTGTTGCAAGACAGGTTTGATGTGGGTGGTAAAACGCGCAACATCGCTATTCAACTCGCTTTGTCATGCGACATCATATTTATGAAAATGAAAGTTATATGATTTTACCTTCGAGAATCGATTAGTGTGTCATATTTTTAACAAAATAATTATAGTGATTTGGTTTTTAAGCCCGCACCGTTTTCTTAGAATGAGCGAGTTCGTAGCTGGTCACGTGACCAAGGTGTGATGTTTGAAATTATGAATTAGCTTTTTCTAAACACAAATTTTGCACTTAAATTTCACGGAAAATATTGTAAAGATGAAGTGGTAACGTTTAAAGCAAATCTGAGCGTAACTATCAAAGTTTTAAGAAGATACAAGCAAAAAATAGTTTTGGCCGCGTGGTTGGAGGGCAAGAGTATGCCCTCCAACATGGCGGCCAATACAAATCATACTACTTTGTTGAAAAATCAAGGTGCAATAAATATCTCCCTTAAATTTGGCGTCAGCATGAGTCCAATTCATTGTTTAAAGGAAGCACTGGTCATGAGACCTATTGATGGGTGATTTAGCCAGAAATTTCAAACCGACATGCTCAGTTACGACGTGACACTTAAAAAAATTAAAGCTCTAATGGCTCTAGGAATATATTTTTTGTTAGTCGATTCTCTGAAAAGATTTTCAAATTAACGGTCTTGGGGGTATCTACTTTTAATCGTATACTGTCGATCTTTGTTTGAAAGCCTTAACGGTCATTAGAATCCTTAATTTCGATTTGGCTTTCTAGATTTAAAGAGTATATATTCTACGAACTAATAAAGGGTGAAAGAAGCAGAATGTCTGGAGAACGCAAGAATTTTCACTTCATAATGCACATGCTTAAGTTTTGGTGTGAATTGGGGGCGGGGGGGGGGGTTAGCTCTACAATAAAGTTCAAACAGGGAATCAAAAAGACGTCGGGGATAAAAATAGAACAACATCTTTAAATAGTGCACGTACCTCCTTCGTCTGTCCATACTGTGATCTCTGTACTATTGTAGGCGATATTCCGTATATGGCGATAGTCTAGGGAACTCATGAGAAGCAGTGTTTCCTGGGACGATGTACCGGTCTACACTAATACCATGTGAGTTTTTGACACTAGTGCTGCAAAAGATGAAAGCTGGGTACAAAATGGCAAAGGACATGAGACCCATTAACCATCAGATGTTCATGGACGATCTGAAGCTATACGGATCTAACAAAGACCAACTTGACTCACTCATTAGAGTGGTAAGGATCTTCTCAGAAGATATCAGGATGTCGTTTGGGCTAGAAAAGTGTGCTGTCTTGGAAATGACGAGAGGAAGGAAAGTTGATAGCAGTGGAATAGACTTACCCGATGACCAACACATCGGCGAAGTTAAGGAAGTGAGTCACAGATATCTTCAGCATTTTACTGTTGGACCAAATCCTCAATACTAAGATGAAAGGCAAGATAACAGCAGAATATTTGAGACGAGTTAAGAAGCTTTGTAGATCAAAACTTAATGGCGGGAATCTTATTAGCATCAATGCTTGGGCTGTCGGTGTGGTACGCTGAAGTGCAGGTATCGTGGATTGGACAGTGGAAGAACTAGTCAGCATGGATACGAAAACTAAGAAGTTATTGGCAATGAATGGCTGTCTTCACACCAGAAGTAATATCGCCAGACTGCATTTGCCGAGAAAGGAAGGGGGAGAGGGTTGATTGGTGTTGAGGAGAGTATTAAGGAGGAGTTCAAATCCTTGCATGACTGTCTGAGGAATAGCACAGAGTGGATGCTGCAGATGGTTTTAAAAGAGAAGGTGTTTGTTGAAGAAGAGAATCTTTAGGACTACAAGAAGAGAAGGAAAGAGGAGAAACGAAGCAACTGGAGAGAAAAAGCCCTATATGGAAAGTTTGCTCGCAAAGTTCAGATGTGGCTGCAGAGGAGTCCTGGAGATAGCTCAAGAATGTTTTTTTAAGGAAGGAAACAGAGGGCTTGATCCTTGTAGCTCAAGAACAAGCTTTAAGAACAAATTCGGTCAAGCACAGCACATATAAGTCATCTGAGACACCACTGTGCAGATTGTGCGGTGAATCCACCGAAATAGTATGGCATATTGTCAGTGGATGCAGGAAGCTTGCCCAGAAGGAATACAGGAAGCGTCACGCTAAGGTGGCTCTACAGGCTCACTGGGAGCAATGCAGAAAGTATGGATTAAAGTGCAACGATACATGGTATGACCAGAGAATAGAGAAGTGAGGATAACTTAGGATATGACTATTTTTACCGACAAGCGGCTGAAGCACAATCGTCCAGATATAATTGTAGTACACAAAGACACACAGTAGTGGACGATTATCGACATTGCTATGCCAGCGGACCAAAATATCCTTACTACTGAGGTGGAAAAGGTGCAAAAGTATCAAGACCTAGATCTCGAAGTTAGAAGAATCCACGGAGCCACGAGAGTGACAATGATACCTATCGTGGTTGGTGCACTTCGAACTATATCGGTGAATACAAAGGCCTCTTATAGGAGGTTGAGTCTACCAGATATTTTTGGAAGCGCACAATTGTCAGCCATCCTTGGTACTACCCATATCTTGCGGAAAGTGTTATGTCTTCAAGCTGTGGGATTGTTGCTGAGACATGGCTGAGAATTCCCAGAAAAAGAACCGGAGAGGATTATGCAATAATAATAATGACAATGATAATGATAATAGTAATACGGCAGCACAAGATCAGGCATTGAGGACAAATGCGATTAAGGCAATATCGAACATCAGAACTTGTCAGTGTCGTGCAGGATGTGTGGAAAATGCCAGGAGAGTGTAGAACACATAATATGTGGCTGCAGCATGCTTGCCCAAAGATATTACAAAAAGAGGCACGACACATTGGCCTGGGTTGTTCATTTGGAACTTTGTAGCAAGTAGTACCAGCATAGCCCTGCACGCATAACTGAGAATAAAGAAGTGAAAATATCATGAGATTTTACCTTGGGCCTGACGTACATGTAACTGTCCATGATAGGAACAACAACAAAGTCCACGTCTAGACATTGCGGCACCCGGCGACAGTAACCTCGAAAGCAAAGAGAAAGGGAAACAGTAAGGATGTCAAGACTTAGCAAGGGAAATATTTGGACTTTTGAGGGCGAAAACAAAGGTAACACTAGTCGTTGTGGGAGCTCTAGGATTCTTTAATACCAAAGAACTTAAAGGATCACTTAGGAGAAAATGGATTCCAAATAGGGTCAGAACTTTGAAAAAGTCTGTACTTCTTGGAACGGCCACTATATTGAGAAAGGGATCTCCTTAAAGTCCAAGGTCTGGAGACTGGACCAGACTAAAATTAGAAAATGTTGCTGTTTCCAGGACAAAGAACAGCTGTGATATCATACGCTACAAAGATAAATCTACATGTATCTGTGAAATGACGAAAGTTAGAGGGCGCAAAGCACATTCCGCGAAAGATTTGCACGAGAGCAACCTTAATTTCTCGAGTGCTTTAAAAACCTCCAAACAATTCACCCTTGACTCAATCATGTAGAGTTGCGACGCTGAGCCGTAGAAAGTAAATACAGTGTACAGTAGTAAAATGTTTTTAAATCGGTTTGCAGATCCGCTTCGTTACGCTTATCAGTTTTTAACTGTCATCGCCTTGTTTTGTCGCAGCCGAAGGTGTCTACGGAAGCGAGCTGCCGTTCGGTAAACAGGGTCCTTGTCAGAAAAATACGTAAGTGGGGTAAAAATATAATGAACTTAACTGCATGAGAAAAGGGCTTACCGTATTGAAATCCTTTTAAGATACCAAATTGTAGCTCTAAGTAACTGACGCTCCGCTTTAAGTATATATCGACAGTGATGTTTCCAGAATTCCCAAAAGAAACTTCCTCGAAACCCTGTGCATTAAACGGGATTCCATATTCATAGGCAAGGCCAACCCTGTTGCCATTACCATCAGTTATATCCATGTACTCACTGTGCAGAAAAATATAGGAATGTGGGTGTCATAAGGTAATGGTTGTGTTCAAAAAATCAATTATTATTGTCTCATTAATTGTACAAAAACCAATTGTTTTGTAAGTTGTTTGCCTGATAGGAATTACCAGTCAAAATAGAGCTTCATTTACCCACCCTTTCTCCTTTATCCTAATTAACCGCCCGCTTAAAACTGCTAAATTTCCTTTAGTTAACAGTTATGATCTCTACAAAAAGTAAGGAAAAAAGTTAAGCTTTACTTCTTAGTTGAATTCTTTTTTACACACTCAGTGATCTTGGTGATTCAAGCAATCTGATTGGTTCGCTATTTTGGACTATGACGTTATATTCACCGCGCTAGGCGGTGAATTTAAAGAAAAACAAAATCGCTGTTGTGAACTGGGGTGTTTCCCAAGTTTCTAGAGTAAGGGACTTTTTGAAAGTACAAGAATATCCCAGTGCTGACGATTTTGAAGGTAAGAAAAGACCTCATTTACTCTAGTTGACTTTCATACGCTCAAAGCAATGTTTCTACCACTACAGAGGCAAACGAGGCCGCTTCGTCACTGTCTTGTGAACTCGGCAGTTCCTCGGAACACCAATTTTGCCTAGAAATAGATGAAGTTAATTTATGGAGACAAAAAAAGGAAAGCAAATATTTTCGAAAACTGTACACCCCAGCAAGTTCACTGTATTGAGTGAGGAAGGTACTCAGAATCAGCAATGCTAAAGACTGTCCAGACCTTCGCGTTACTCGGATGACTGCCGCAGAAGTTTTGAGCTCTCACGTTTAGTGGGAGCCACGATAAACAATAAGTACAGTCGTACTGAAGATTGAAGAAAGTAAACTTTGTCGGTGGCATAGAAAATATATACAGAGCGGCACTATGATCCTCAAATATGCCCATTAATCATTACCATCAAAGAATTTGCTTTTGTGTCAATGTTTTGTGTCTGTCATAGAAGAGTACAAACAAACTGAATTATTCAAATGCCATATTGGTTAAGCGTTGTATTTGAGAGAAATATACTCAACACTAAGATGAATTATCAAGAATTGAAGCAAATGTCTAAAATATTTATCTGGGAATTGCGCAGAGTACTGTGGTGCCAGTCGTAAATGTTCCATTGGGAACAGTTAGAAACTAGGTGGCTAGGTGTCACGTGTCGTTTAGGATCATTACACAGAGCTTAGTCACTGGAAAAAGCCAAAATCCTTCGCAAAGTCTTGGACACATGTGGTCACAAAGGAAGCAGCAAAGAAGATTACACTATTGCTGGAGACAGAAATTAAAGCTTCGGTATTAGTCCATCAGCTGAGAGCCGAAAATTTGGGTTTATGGCTCACTTAAAGGGAACAGCTGAAACATGTCACATATTAATCTTTGACGATTAAGCATCTCAAAAATGCATGATAGCAAGGATAAAACGGTAGCTTTCACTTTGAAAATCCAAATTTAAATTTCCCCCTCATAATCTCCTTTTTGTCCCCCATCTTGAATTTCGGGAAAGGCTAAAAAGTTGCTTATATTCTTTTAACGTAAACAAATCTTGTTTTAGCGTAGATTTAAAACATATTTGAATTAAAAACATGACTTCCGTTTATTCTAGTGCTTAAATTATAACTACCTGATGTCGTATGCGAATCAACATCGCCCGTTATTGGTCACTCAATAAGACCGGCATTTCGCAATTTGTTTCATAACAAGAAAAAATTTAAGGTTTAGAAAATTGTTTCACAAAAGAGTAAGTGATTAAATGAATCATATTTTTACATTGCAAGTGTATTGAATAGAGTCTTCTTGGAAACAATTTCTTAGTGGAGAACCTTATCCAGTCACGCGTCCATGACCGGAATCAGTTTCAGAGGTTTCAGCTGAATGTGAATTCCCCGTGTGTCTCATCAAAATCAATGTAATGGCCGAAGTGAGTTCACCAACGAGAGAGATTTGCAACTCGTTAAGCTTGTCTACACAGAAGTGAGTGATGACTGACTGCCCCCTACGGCAAGAGAAAGCAGCCAGCGAAGACTTTGTAACGAGCCGTTGCTCATCCAATCCCACGCTTTCTTTGATCCAGTGAAGAAAGCCAACGAATGTGAAGGCTGTGCATAAGGTTCGCAACAAGGATCTAGTACTTCCTATTGTGCTTGGATGGCAGTTCTGGGACAGTTCCGGCAAGCCGAGAACATGACCGGCAGTTTCGATGAAACGGCAGGCTACAGAAGTTGAAGATCTCCTCTGGAGCCATGTTTCATGTGGTCGCTTAGAGTAAATAACTTCGCGCAGCACGCGCGTAGACGTAGTGGTTGACGTGTAGGGCGAGGTGTTGATCAAAAATGTCAAAAGACTGAGAATCGTCTACCGCTGACAGTGTACAATTATAGGGATTTACTGCGATACACTATGCTGTGAAGTCATGGAACGAGCTGCTAAGTGCCAACACAAATAAGCTGAAATCGGCAAATTCCTTGTGCCACAGGGCAAACCCGAAGCATTTAGAAGCAGACTCGGCAACTGGATCATGGACTCCTCGTGTGACAGCCGAAGACCAGTCGGGCGACTAGACGCAGACACATAGTGGTTAGAGACCCTTTTCCTGAGGTACAGTTCTCTGACGAAGAGGCTGAAACGCGTATTGTTCTCCATGTTCGGCATGCGCGCAGGAATGAAGGTGTGATGCACTCTGTAGCCTGCGTAGCATGGCGGTTTTGTTGAGCCGGGCGCAGGAGCGGCGTAGCCGCGAAATTCGCGCGCGAAGCGCGCGAGAACGAGCGGCGAAGCCGCGAGAAAAATATAAACCGCCTGCCCGGATTCGTGGCCTTTTCAACTGCCGCCCCCTTCAACTCATTTTGACACCTTGTTGACAACTTGTTTGGTTTCAGTTTTCCCAGCCAATCAGAAATAAAGTGTTGACAGCCTCAACACGACACAAAAGCTCGTGATATAGTGTAAAACGTGACCTTGGCCGGAATTGGAGTTTGGCTGAGTTTGTTTGAACAAACACGGTTTTTTTCTTTGTGGCTATCTCGCGCATAGGTGACTACACTGCGTTCTAAACTTGACTGAGTAGATCTTATTTTTGCTGCACTAAGTCTTACATTTATTTAGAGGTCATGGAGTTGGTTTGTTTAATCCGTATTGAGTAATTATTTCCTGTGGTTAATGTTATTTTCGCTAATTAGAATTTGTTGATCTCAGATGCAGTTGTAAAGTACTAATTTCTTTGACCACTCAGTGACTCTTAAAGCCTAAAGCTTTTTATTACGGCTAAATAAATATTTTAGTTTCTTTGGTTTTTTCAGACTAAAATGCCTGGATCTAGACAACTACAAACCAAGGAGCCTTGGTTTGTAGTTTCTTTGTCACTGCTTTGTCCGTGAATGTTTTGACGCTGGGCCCGGCTTTTTAAATTTAAGTGTTGTTTGCAGGATGTTGTATTTTTACGTAGAGCGAGATCTTCAGATTTGAGTTGTAGCTTAAGTTACACCAAGCAAAAAAGTATGGAGAATTACGCTGTGCGTCTTTCTTCTACCGTATGCGATTCATCGACCACAATCGCGGACACCGTTCGATGTATTGGGCTGGAGTGCGTTATTCTCTAACACCGAGTAATAGAGAAAATTGAGGTGAACTTTCCCG